TGGCATTGTATAATTTTTTTTCGTTTTAGGCAATCTTTTGACTTGCAAATTTTACTCCAATTAATTTTCTTGAAATTTTATTGCTCTTATTGTTTAAGTTATTATAACTTGACTTCGTATGTGTCACATCTCGAGTCCGAAAGACGTTACTTCCAGCAACGCAGTACATGATGAAATGAAGTGAACCTATTTTGCATTCTTAAAAAAAATTGCATGCAAGTAATAATAGAAAGAAACAAGGAAAGATAATTTTTATTCCATAAATAAGAGTCTAACTGATACAACTACAATGAAAAATAAGAACTAAATAAAACAAAATTGAAATGATAATCGAGAAACAACTATCCAAAACCCAAAAGATGAAATACAATAATTAATGCTAAACTGATAATATCAAAATAAAGTCTAAAGTTGAAAAGTTTTCTCCTGTGGAGACAGTTTTGCAAGTGGATGAATAAAATCTGTTATACAAAAATATTAACGAATGAGTTTTACAAATCACACTCAATAAATAACTACTATTTATTAAAACGTAAATAACAAGAAATTGGGGCAAATAATATGAACAATAAAAAAAGATAATTTATTATATACATATACAAAATTATATCACACATAAGTGTAGAGTATAAATCAAAATGAGTGTGCTCAATCTGGTTAATAACACATGCAATCACTAAAATCACCGGTGTATGACATAACAATCATTTATTCTTTGTTTAATTTATGATTGTACAGTGATTATCAAACACCCTCAAATCGAGAAGGTAAACACCAACCCAAGGAAACTTATAATTTTCTGTAGAGTTATCATTCTGTGGGTCTGTCGACTCGACTAACTAATATTCAAAGATTTCCACCGACTAACATACTTTCACACATACAAACATATTGAGTTCCAAATATTTCCTCAACTAAATATATAAACGATACGACAAAGTATTTTCTACTTCAAGTATGCTAAAAATATGTGTAAGGATGATATTTATAATTGCAAGGCTCAAATTTGATATGCAGGGAATTGAGCAGCAATATGACAAACAATTACTTCTTGATATGCAATAAATAAATTTTATTACTAGTACGAAGCAATATAATTTTAGTAAAAAGGACAAGACTTACAATTCTACGAATAATTTTGCATATAATAAAAGAAATAATGATAACACCACTAACAAAGAAGATATGTTTATACTGTAATAAATAACAATTATTTATCTTGAGGTTGCAAAAATGAAACTTCTAAATATTCAAACAATTTTACTAGTGTTGACTTGCAATCCTACACAAATTAGAAGTCCTAATGATCAATAGTTTCACACATAAACATATTAAGACTAAGTATTTATTAAATTTGGTGTAACAAACTTAACATATGCTATCATTATGTGTGTGTGTGTGTGTGTGTGTGTTTGTGTCTATTACAATTTTAAAAAGAATATGTTAGTCAAAGTTTTCTATTATATAATTCAACCAAATAATCAAATAATTAAAATGAATTTAATATGTATATACATACATATATATATTGATATATTTATGCATATGTATAATATTGCATTATAATCAAAAGAAAAGAAAGAAGGGGAAGAAGGACATACGACACTTAGCGGTCGAGGAAGAAGGAAGGAGGGGTTGCAAGACCCGACCCTGGGTTTTGAATTATCCAAAGCATGAACGGACCGTCGGACGGTGGAATTAAATTTTTTATTATTCTATTTCTATTGCTAATAGTTTAATATCTAAACATTAATTGAAAGAGTCATTAAAAGAAACATTTTAATTAATAAATAAAAGTTTCCCCTTGTATATATTATCTCTTTTAATATTCATCTTATTTTAAATCTTAAACCTGAAAGAAAATATCAAAATAACATAATGAGTTATTTAAAGAAAACCCAGAAACAATCACACTTCTAATTACAGTAACCCAAGGAATAGAAAATAATATGAACGTTGATTTTTCATATTTCTATAAAAATCTTATAATAATCTAATATGTGCCCATAAGATTTACTTATTAGAATAAACTTATAGTTTGATATACATTAATTTTAATTGTATTTTTCAAGGTTTAATCGTTAATTATATTTTTATTTCATGCTATTGACATTCACATCCATCTTAGGAACACCATCAAAATATAATTTAACACACTCTTGGCCAATTTATTTGATTGGCATAACGATTCGTGATCTAATTCACATGTTTGTCAGAGGTTGAAAGATACTTACTTGCCTCTGATCGATTTTCTTCTGTCGGCATCGCGATTAACAGTTTAAATATCACAATTGTCTGGGATATATGTATAATATCTATGCTTGAGGGTATATTGACACTGTACTTTAAGGAGGGGAACTCCTCTTTCATGCATATACAAACAATCATGTATACACTGCATCATTCTTCATATTATACAGTCTTTTTTTATAAGTGCAATCTTACTAAACCTATAGGACAAGCAATAAAGTGATACATATATATATATATATATATGTATCACTTTATTGCTTGTCCTATAGGTTTAGTAAGATTGCACTTATAAAAAAAGACTGTATAATATGAAGAATGATGCAGTGTATACATGATTGTTTGTATATGCATGAAAGAGGAGTTCCCCTCCTTAAAGTACAGTGTCAATATACCCTCAAGCATAGATATTATACATATATCCCAGACAATTGTGATATTTAAACTGTTAATCGCGATGCCGACAGAAGAAAATCGATCAGAGGCAAGTAAGTATCTTTCAACCTCTGACAAACATGTGAATTAGATCACGAATCGTTATGCCAATCAAATAAATTGGCCAAGAGTGTGTTAAATTATATTTTGATGGTGTTCCTAAGATGGATGTGAATGTCAATAGCATGAAATAAAAATATAATTAACGATTAAACCTTGAAAAATACAATTAATATATACATATATATATATATATTAGAATTTTCATATCGTGTAGTCATAAAAACTCTTCTTAGGAAAATTATAATGCAAAACATGCATACTTTTCCTTTCCAACAATATGAAAAATTTATTATATTCTAAATCTCATTGGAACCTAACATAAATGAAATGAATTATATATTGATAAATAATGAAAATTACTAAAATTTAGAAATACAATTACTCACCTTAATCTTGCTTGCTCGTCTCACTGACCCCCTATCTTTAGGTTTTATAGGCTCAATTATTTTTCAAAATTAATTGTTGTTATAAATTAATGTTTTAATAAAATTAAATCTAATCTAGATAAATCAAACTTAAATTTCAATTATCTTATATCCTATACTTCAAGGTGATCCGCTCTTCGATCTCGAAACTATATCTCCCTTACTTCAAGTACTTTCTGCTTTCTAATACACTTACTATTAACACTTAAAGAGTAAACATACATATATATATATATATATATGCATACCACTCAATTCTTTAATATCACATCAAAAATACCACCATCACTATCTAGTTAAAAGTGAAACACACCTTTTCATGCATAAACTTATGACATGATAGTGTTTTAACTGTAAATATCAAATTTTGGATGTTAGATATGTAATATAAGAATTGTGTGGTGTAAATTTCCCTCAAGAAAAAAACTCCCACTATATAAATAATTTATTAATTAAATTATAATATAAACCTAATCTTACCTAAAATTCCTTTAGCTGCTCGCAATCTTTTAAACGAGAGCTTCGTCATGCGCGCAAAAGTCAACTCCCTTTCTTCTTCTTCAAACTAGAAAGAAAACAGTTTTTAAGAAATGGCTCATTCAAACCAAGGAATAGAAAGGAGAGGTCGTCAAAGAGAACAGTGGCATTTCTCCTTTGCATTTGGAAGGAGTTGTGGCACACTCTTGATAGCATGGTAAACTTTGTTCGTACTGCATAAGAGATCAATATCCTTGCACCAACCTAATGAATTTATCCTAAATCTATCTCCTGGCTGATAATGGTTTGAACTAATTTCTGAAGGTTCTCACGAACTCGTCCTGCTGTACTAAGAGGCTAGGTCGACCGCCAAATTTCTCCTGTAACTGACCTTGCCATCATCTCTTAGCTTCTCCCTCAAAAGCAAACGTGACAAGGGTAACTCTCTTCTCCAGTGGACATCCCATACTATATATTATTTTCTTCATCTTCATCAGCCAATTTTCATTTTCACCGACCCTTTTGCTTCAGAAAATTAAAGTGTTCTCATTTCTTGAAAGAGCTTTACCATCCAATTTATAAATGTTTTAGTTTAATATTTTTGTAGTGGCTCTTTCATTTGTTAAATACTAGTTATAAAAAATGAATGTATAAAAATTTAATTTCCACTGTCGACCGTCTGCACCCACCTTAGTTAATTCCAAATCTTGGGCCGGGTTGTGACAAGGGTTGTGATCATTTGCCTTGCTAAATTAATGAGAACAAGGAAGATGGAAACAAGGGAAGCAATATGGGATGGACGACCAGTGCACGAAAAGTTGCGGTGCCCTAATCCTTATCTCATAATTGGAGCAATGTTAGCAAGGGCAAGACGCGAAAACTTGAATGGGAAGGTGGGAGCGAGCGAAAAAAAAGGCAAAGAAAGATCACATCCAAATTGAGAAAGCGGCATAGCATGATTGCGAGGTTTGCACGACAACCAAAAGGGGAAAGTTGTGCGATAGAAATCAGAGAATAAAATGAAGGTCGGTTTGTCAGGAAGGAAAGTCAAGCAGAAAGAAAATAAATCATGTAATTGTGAAATTCGGAAAGTGAGCAGTGTTGGTTTGGAGTGGTATTAGCAGAGAAAATCTCGACTCTTATAGTATGTATTTGAACATTTATGTGGCAAAGGTTTGCTATTGAGTTGTAGCAATTTTCTAAAAGTAACATTTCAAAAAGTCTTTATAATGGCCTTCTATGAATCCCTAGTAAAAATTTTCTTCGTGTATACAAAATATACATGCTTTCTTTGAAATTAAACCAATTTCTCTTTTAATCCGAGCCTGCTTTTTTTTTTCTGCAATTCAGGAAGAAACAGTGGAAGAATTTACCGAGAATAGATCAGATGATCTTGTCGTGTCTCTCTATCAAATGGATTTGGACCGGGCACTCTTTCTTTTAAGATCATACCTAAGAATCCGTCTACAAAAGGTTTTGCTGCCACTTCTCCGGCTTGAGTTCTTAAATGCAAGCTTTGGACTAAAGCTAATTTTTTGAATCTCCTCGCAGATTGAGAAATATATGATCCACATCTCAAAAACAAACCTTTGGAATCGCCTTTCTGAACAAGAACAAAGGTTTGCCAAGAGGTAATGTTGATATAATTTTGGGGGATTTAGAGGCATACCACTCAATTCTATGTATTTACATATCGAACACCTAAATTTCAATTTTATATACATTCCGCCCTACCTATGTATGAGGTGTAAAGTTAAAATAGTGATATTTTTACTGTGACTTCAATGATTTAGGTGGTATAAGTGTAAAAAATAAACTTTAGAAGTTAGACATGTAAATACATAGGGGATTTATGTGGTATGTATCTAAATACCCCTATATTTTATTTCTGATTTCATCATAGGCTTATTGATTCCATGCTCTTACTCTTTTGAAATCATGATCTTGCACAGATGCATAGATATTATGGAAAATCATCTCGAACAAACTGTACTATCAAGACTTCCTTATGGCTACCAGTCCATGCTGAAACAATCTATTTCAAGCGAAGAGGATGACATGGGTTTGTTTTTGTATCCCTTCCGTTTGACTTGTTATCAATCCATGCTCTTCATTCCTTCGTCAAGTCTTTAGAAGATTGGTCGGTTAAGTAGAGGAAATTAGCCTTATAAGTTGCTAAGTTCTTAAATATCTTGCATAATGGTCGTTTGTGAAGTTATTGTCTTGGATTATTGAGACCAGAAATTTGGTGCGGAGCTGCTTCTGCTGACTACATTTCTTATGTTTGGGCGTAGCAATCTGTGTTAAATTTTATTTTGTCTTAAACTGTTTTATATTTTGCATCTGATATTACTAATTATAGCTGCATGTACTATTAACAATGGTAGAATATTGTGACAGTCAGTAATTATTTTTACCATATTTTGATAATTAATATTAGTTTGGAACTTCAATTATTTTGATTTGTCGTCCAACAGTATAATTGCCTAAGAATGTATGGTTGATTTATCCGCTACTGGCCTATATGCGAGTATTTTTCCTTCTCCTCTTATGCGTATTCTAAGACTAGAAAAACACCAGAAGCAAAAGAACCATCACAGTGGTGTGCAAATAATTTAAAGCTTTACTAAAAACCGGGAAATATAAAGGCAACGCCTAAATTCTACAATAGATGCAATAAATTTTTATTAAGTAATCCAAGCAATCTTGAAATGGAGTTGTAGTAAGACTCCAAGGATAATTAAGTACGAAGTTAGTGTATTGAAAATTGCAGGGACAACTTGTATTGGGGATGCACTACATCAACAACAACAACAACAAGCCTTTATCCCACTAAGTGGGGTCGGCTATATGAATCATTTTCCTTCATTTCGTCCTATTGAGTGTCATATTTTCATTTAATTCTAATAAATTAAGATATTTTTTTTATACAATATGCTCAAATTTTTCTAAGTCAACCTTTGTCTTTCTTAACATAAGTCGAATCTAAAACATCCATTCACCAAATCGGATCATCAGATGGTTGACGTTTAATGTGACCAAACTATCTAAGATGACTCTCTAATTTTGTCCGCCACTGGAGCTACACCAGGCCGATCACGGATATATTCATTTCACATTTTGTCTCCAAGTGTCAAGCCGCTCATCCACCTAACCATTCTCATCTCAACAACTCTTAACTTTGTTTTATGTTTATCTTTTAAAGGCCAACTGATACCGGAGTTAACCCAAATCACAATGGAAACACAATATTATTTATGAATTCCTTATTACAAACACGATACGAGAAAGTGGGAAATAAACAACAAACAAACATGACAATATAAACAATAAAAGGCGTCTTTGGGGGACAACAAAGACGGAGGCTGTTGGACCACGTTTGGTGGCTGAGGAAAGAGGGCTGCAGTTGTAAGGTAGTGGCAGGAGAGACGAGCAGTCGCTGGAACAACAAAACAGCTTTGGGCGACAATCAAAACAACAGCCGGTTGCTATTTGGGGCAACTTCAAGCTAGAAGTCGAGATAAAAAGATGGTTCCAGACACAACATAGAGAAAAATTTTAATTGACATCTCTTCCACAAATTCAGTGGGATGATTTTGTCAGGGTATTTAAAGATTAGCTTATTTCACCTTTAGCCAGATTAGCATAGCAAGATAAATTCTTCAATCTAACTCAGGGGTCTAAGACAGTTATGCAATATGAGACAAAATTCACTTATCTTTCTAGATATTTATAAGTGTCACAAATTTCTACGTTCTCAGAGATCAGTTGAGGTTGACATTGACTTCATTCTAAATCAACGATTTCTCGGTACTTGTTGAAATAGCCTGAAAATTTAAAAATGAGTCAAACTTTTCTAGTCAGTGATGACAACCTCAGACAACCAAAAGAAAAAACTTTGGCAAAAGAGAAAAAAAATTTAAAGCATGAAAATTAAATCAAAAGATAAGCAGAAGCAACCCCAATCAGAAAAACCAGTTTGTGAAAAATGTGAAAAAAGACATTTTGGGCAGTGTTTAATAGGATCAGGAAAGTGTTACAAATGTGGACAATGAGGACATCTTCAGATGATTTGTCCACAAGAAAAGAAGAGATACAACACAAATAATCCAGGGATATAGACAACCCAGAAAATTTTGGAAAGACATTTAGCCCAATAGAACTCAATCAAGCAAAGGGTGAAACTTCAGAGCGCAGAACTGAACAATTAGTAAAAACCCAAGTTTTTGCAATTACCTCTCAAGAAGCTAAATAATTTGAAGAAGGGATTACAGGTACACTCCTAATTCATGATCAACCTGACACTGTTCTATTCTATTCAGGTGCATCACATTCCTTCATTTCTAACGAGTTTGCTGCCAGTTTATGCGTTGATATTATGCATTTTACCTCTACTTTGTGTGGTTATGCCTTTGGGAAGTCGTGTTTACGTAAACAGAAATTGTGCTGTGCATGTTCATATTCATGATAAAAAGGTGCCGATAGAGTTGATTATCATATCAATTCAGATATTTGATGTCATTTTGAGGATGAATTGGTTGGTAAATCATTTTGCTACAATTGAATGCTGGGAAAAGGAGGTGAAATTGAAATCGCCCGGTGAAAAATCATTCTATATCATTTGTGATCCAAATGCACAATTTTTTTTTATTAGTGCAATGATAATTGGAAAGTAACTGATATTTTGGGCAAAATTAGAAGTTTTGAATAATGATGTACAAGAACTGAAAAATATTTCAACGGTTTCATAATTTTCTGATGTATTTCTTGAAGAATTGCTAGGGTTACGACCAAAACAAGAAGTTGAATTTGGTATTGATGTGCAACATATAACAATTTCGTTATAGGATGACTCCGAAGGAATTACAAGAATTGAAATGTCACATAAGGGCTTTATTAGGCCAAGTAATTCACATGGAGTGCTTCGGTTTTATTGGTTAAGAAGAAAGACGGATCAATGCAGCTATGTATTGATTACAGAGAGCTGGACCAGGTGACAGTTACAAACAAATATCCTTTGCCCAGAATCAATGAACTGTTTGATTAATTAGGTGCTATGATATTTTTCTGGATTGCTCTGAGATCAGAATATTATCAGGTCAAAGTCAAGAAAATAGTTAGACAGCTTTTGAGATCAGGTATGGTCATTACGAATTCTTAGTTATCATTTTTGGCTTTACTAATGCTCCTGCTATGTTTATGGACTTGATGAATCGAATTTTCATGCCTTATGTGGTTCATTTTGTTATTATTTTTACTGGTGATATTCTGATTTATTCAAGAACTGATGATGATCATGCCAAATGTCCGAGGATAGTTTTGGAGCTAATGAGGCAAAATCAACTATATGCAAAATTTTCGAAATGTGAATTTTGGCTGCGAAGTATTTTATTTTTGGGGAATTATCAATAGATAAGGAATCTAAGTTGATCATTAGAAGATCAAAACAATTGTGGAATGACCTACTCTAAAGAATGTTACGGAGGCATGCAATTTTCTTGGATTGATTGGGTATTACAGGACGTTTGTAAAAAGTTTTCCATAGATAGCTGTCATTGTCAAAGCTGATGAGTAAAGATGTTTAATTAGAGTGGACTGCAGAATGTGAGCACAATTTTTAAGAATTGAAGAAACATTTGACTGCTGCTTCAGTGTTAACTATTCCATTTGTTACAGAAGGATTCCTGATTTTCAGTGATGAGTCGTTGCGAGGCTTGGCTTGTGTCCTAGTGCAAAATAAAAATGTGAAAGCCTATGCATTTGGACAGTTGAAGTCACATGAGAGGAATTATATGACATGATCTGAAATTAGTTGTAGTGTTTGCTCTCAATATTTAACGATATTATTTGTATGGAGTAAAATGCAAATTCTTTACTAATCATCAAAGTCTGAAATATATTTTCACACAAAAGAGCTGAATTTTAGATAACGATATGGTTATAGCTGATCAAAGACTATGATTTGGATACACAATATTGTCCTGATTGAGTAAATGTAGTTGCCGATGCATTAAATTGTAAATCCACAGGTAGTGCAAGCTGAATTGTCACTCAGAGACCAGAGTTAATTAGATAAATTGATGTCTTGTAAGTAGAAGTTAGAAGATCAAATGATATGGGGTATTTACATCAAATGAAAATGCAATTAACCTTGATGGATAGAATTAAGGCAGCTTAGAAAGGTAATAGTGAATGTCTGAAACTCCTGAAGTAACACCAATCAGGAAAGAGGTCAGATTTGGCTGTTGATGAAGATGAGAATTCTACATGAAACTCATCATTCATGCTACACAATTCATCCAAACAACAAAAAAATATACAAATATTTGAAGTTGGTATTATGGAGGCAAGGTATGAAGAAAGATGTTGAAGAATATGTATCTCAATGTCAGTCTTTTCAGATTGTAAAAGCTGAGCATCAGAGACCTAACAGATTGCTTCAATCGTTGCTTACGCCTGAATGAAAATATGGAGAAATTGCTATTAATTTTGTTATGAAATTTCCTCAATCCAGACAGGGCCATGACGATATTTGGTTATTATTGACAGACTAACCAAGTCAGTTAACTTTTTGTCAATCAAACAGACATATTCAATTGAAAAGTTAATCAGATTGTATGTAAAAAAAATTATCAAATTATATGGAATTACAAAATTTATAATTTTTATAGAGTTGGAAGATTCTCATCCAGGTTACATAAATACATTCAACAAGGTTTATGTACGCAGTTGCATTTTAACAGAACATTTCATCCACAAACTGACGAACAATAAAAAAGAACAATTCAGTTATTAAAAGATTTGTTGCGACAATTTAGTTAGACTAGTTCATTACCCACTGAGTCATGATTCAAGTTAGGACGAAAATTGGTGAAAATTTAGTCTATCTGAATTGTTCACCTCTATCACACCTCAGTCGACCTTTAAAGGGGGGACAACTAGGGTGTGATAAGCGTCACATGCTATCTTTCTACATACCTTGAGAGAAGCATTAATAAGACCAAAATTAGTGATTCTAGAATGGAGTTAGGGAAGTTGATACAATATATAGTGTAGCCCTTA